CCTTAATAATAAGATAAAATATAATAATTGATTTAATGTATATCCACATGATTTAATATACATATCCACGTGGACTATCTTAATAGGCGAGACCAAAATTAGGTAACAACATTCACCTCGATAGGTTAAATGTGGTATGATCAGTAATTGGGTAATTTATGCAGTGCAGTAATTTCCAATCAGTTTTATTTGTGAAATATTGGATATATTAAAGTCAGAGGAATATAAGTGTTGATAGTAGTTTTTTATCAGAAGGTTTCCCGACGCAGAGGCAAGTTCAGTACAGTTGGTGATGCTAACGTATATGTAGGTGATATTGACATTGTAGGTACATGCATGTAAATGTTCCGCACCCGAAGGGCCCCGGGTAGTGGGTACATCACATGCAAAGTGCCACATAGTCATGTTTAGAGTAATAAGGGACAAGTCCAAAAGTATTTGGCTTTACCATAATGGAAGTTGATCGAGGAAATAGTCAAGTATGTAGCCTAGATTCAAGAAAGGTTCAAGACTGCTCATAATTGGTAGAAATTTTTACTTAGACATGGATAAAGTCTTTCAGATAGTTCGACTAATGAGAAGTGTCGTTTGGTAAGTTGCATTCTTTTTGTATAAGTCCGTTCAAAGTTCTTGAACGAGTAGAAGAAGTATTCTATCATTTAGCATTACCTCCCGAGTTGGTTAGTATGTGTAATGTTTTTCACGTATCGATGATACGTGTATAGTTGAGCGATCCAAATTATGTGCTTTAGCACAATGAGATTTAGATTCAACAAGTTTTAACTTACGAGGAACCGTCGGTATTTGTTTTGGACCAAAAAGTTAATCGGCTAAGGAATTGAGATATTTCCCTCGTTCGTATAAATAGAATTGCCACGGAGAATAAAATGCCATTTGGGAGTGATAAGCTGATGTTAGAATTCCAGATTTTAAATTTTAATATATACTCAGATAATATTTATCCCAGTTCCAGTATTTCCGAGGGCGGAAATAGTTTTAAGGTGGGTAGATTGTAATACCCCATATTTTTAGTAAGTCAGTAAATCAGTAGAAGTTATTCAGTAAATCTGTAAAAGTTATTAATAGTTTATAGATGATAAGTAAATTATTTTCAAGATTAAGTT